CCCCCCGCTTGGAGGTTGGGGACATCAAGGGACTTCGCAGAGCCTCATGCTGGAGACCTGGGGACATCAAGCGACCTTGGACACCCCCCATGCTGGCCATTTGGGGACCCCAATGCTGGACACTTGGGGACACCAAGGGACTTCACAGACCCTCATTTTGGGGACACTGGGGACCGTGGAGACCCCCGTGCCCAGAGACGTGGGGGGTCCCTGCTGGTTGTCCCCCCCCAGCTGGCCTGGGGGCACCCCTCCCCCCCTAAATTATTATCCGGCGCTTGCCCCCAGGCCAGCTGGGGGGGGACAACCAGCAGGGACCCCCCACGTCTCTGGGCACGGGGGTCTCCACGGTCCCCAGTGTCCCCAAAATGAGGGTCTGTGAAGTCCCTTGGTGTCCCCAAGTGTCCAGCATTGGGGTCCCCAAATGGCCAGCATGGGGGGTGTCCAAGGTCGCTTGATGTCCCCAGGTCTCCAGCATGAGGCTCTGCGAAGTCCCTTGATGTCCCCAACCTCCAAGCGGGGGGTCTTGGGACCCAAATCTCCAGGCATGGAGGTCAGCAATGTCCCCAGATGTCCCCAAATCTCTGGTCATGGGGGTCTTGTGACCCAAATCTCCAGGCATGGAGGTCAGCAATGTCCCCAGATGTCCCCAAATCTCTGGTCATGGGGGTCTTGTGACCCAAATCTCCAGGCATGGAGGCCAGAAATGTCCCTTGATGTCCCCAGATCTCTGGTCACGGGGGGTCTTGGCACCCAAATCTCCAGGCGTGGAGGTCAGCAATGTCCCCAGATGTCCCCAACCTCCAACCAGGAGGGTGACCAGCCTCGTACCCCACCGGTCACCCCCTCGCCACCCCACGCGTCACTCCCCGGCGATACGCAGCAGCCCTACAAAATTGCTTTCCCGCTCGTCCTGTGCCAGCTGCCACCCGTCCCCAGATAGGTTCCCAGTCAGGTTGAGGTGGAGGACGTCCCCACGCTGGAGTTGCCCCACGGCTTGGGCCAAACCAGAACATGCCGGATGGGATCCCGCGTTGTTGGGTAGCGCCAACGGCACAGCGAGCAATGGGGGCTCTGAATCAGCACGCTGGAGCTGGAGGGTGACGGTGCCGGGGGGACAGGTAGATGCCGTGCAGGTGACGGCAAATTGGCCGTAGAAGAGGTAGAGGCCAGCCGTTGTCACCCGCAGCTGCCCGTCTGTCATCTGTACGTCACCGCTGAGGAAGACGCCGTTGATGCCTTCCTCGTAGCGCCAACCGAGTCCTCCAACCTCCAAGGAGCCTGGGGGGGAGAAGAAGGGAGAGGGGTGGTGGGTGATCCTGGTCGGTGATGGGTGCTCCTGATGGGAGATGGGTGCCCCAATGGGAGATTGGAGGTCCTTGATGGAATATGGGGTGGCCCTGATGGGACATGGGATGTCTCCAATGGGAAAGAGGTGTCCCCGATGGGAAATGGGTGCTCCTCCTTGGTAGTGGGTGCCCCCAACGGGAGATGGGTGCTGCAGCCCTCCTTGATGCCCCCGAGGCACTGCAGCCCACCCAGGGGTACCTGGGATGGGACCGGGGGATGACAGGGACAGAAGATGGTCCATGACACCCTGGGGACCACAGAGACGGAGGATGCTCCGTGACACCCTGGGTACCACAAGGACACAGGATGCTCCGTGACAGCCCGGGGACACTCCATGACGCCCTGGGCACCGCGGCCGCCCTGTGACACCCCCAGATGCTCCAGGCCAGGGATGACGTTTCCTCTCCGAGGGCGGAAGGAGGAACCCGCGCGACATTTTCGAGATGACTGGGCGAGCCGCCTATGGAAGGACTAACTCCCCCTCTCCCTCTCTCGTGTCCTGTCCCCCCCCGCCACCGCTTTCCCTGGAGCCCCTCACCGTGGCCTCAGGCCTGGGGGGACTTACCAGCACTCAGCAGCATGTGGGCGGCCGTAGCAGCCTGCGAGGAAGAGGAAAGAGAGTGTCAGCGGGACGGGAAGGAGTCGAGCATCCTCATCTCCATGAGTCGTTGTGTCCCCCCCCGCCCCGGTGAAGGGGAAGTTGGGTGTCGCATCGGGATTTGGGGACTTTCCAGCACCCCGTCGGGTATTTTGGGGGGTCCCCAGGGGAGGGGGCGACCCCTGGATTTGGGGGTGGGGGAGGATTTGGTGCCTTTGGGGATGGGAAACTGAGGCACGGGGCGGGGGGGGTGTTGGAGGCCTGATGCATCTTCCTTACTCCCCCCCCCCAAGCCCGGGGGGTGGGC